ATTTAATATTTAAACTACATCATTGTTACATTTAATATTTAAAATTATCACAATTAAAAAATTAATTGTATATACACATATTCAACATATATAGAGACATTTATAATAATGAAATAAGCAAATCATATATACACATATAGAACATAAATAGATACATTTATAATATTCTAATACATATTTTTCATATTAAATTTTTTTTAACAACATAGTTATACTTTTAAAATTTTAAATTTTAACAATTTAATAACTAAAGCATATATACACATCTTAAACATAAATACGGACATTTATAATAATGAAATTCATATTTTTTTAAAATTTTAATTATTTTAAACTATAAAATTATTACATTTAACATATTTATTTTTAACAATTAAATAAGTTAATCATATATAAATATATTCAACACAAATAGCTAGATTTATACCGTTCAAATACATTATTTGTTTAAATTTAAAATTTTAAACTACATAATTACTACATTTAACAATTCAAATTTCTACCGTTAAATCACTAATTCAAATATACACATTTTCTACATAAATAGGAACATTTATAATATTCATATCCATACTTTTTTTCAATTCTAAAATATAATCCACATTATTTTTAAATTTAAATTATTAAATTTTTACAACATTACACAATATATTTATAAATTTTTAACACATAATTTATCTTTTTAAACACATTCTATCCTAAATACATACACAATATATTTCTAAAATTTAAACATATTCTATTAGTTCTAAAAACTACTTTTTTTATAAACTCCTCTAATTATTTAATAATATCACAACGTAACATAATATATTTCCAAAATATAAACACATCCATTATATAAGTAAAATTAAAAAATTAAAAGACTTATTATAAATTTAAATTTATATACTTACTTGTAACTCTCTTGCAACACCAACAAAATTATAATTACTTATAACCTACAAAATAATACAAAAAACACAATAATTATTCAAAAGAAAATTAAATGAAAAAATTATATCAACAAATAAAAATAACCTTATTTACCAAAAAAAAAAAAAGATTTAGTGAGTAGGAGATGAATGAGATCTTTAGTGAGAAGGAAATGAATCAAATGTTTACCAAGTAGGAGAAGAGTGAAAAATTTAAACAATGGTTTAGATTTTATACAAATTCAATGCGTGAGTGAATGAACAAGAGAGAAAGGAGACGTTGGCTTGCAAAGTTCTTTGGTCAAAGGCTGAAATTTTTTTCAGTCAAAGGCTGACACATGGCGGTGGTGGACAGATGGCACCTCCACCCCATTCGTCATCTGCACCAACTCAAGCATTAAGGATGGCACCTCCACCCCCATGCGCCATCCTCTTCCCTCCCTCAGATGTGACTAGACAGACTTTGTTCAGATGGACCCCCATGCGCCATCTGAACAATTTTTTGTCTTATTATAAGACTCCTGTCCCCCTTGCGCTTTGTTCATATATTGCCATGTGGCCAAAACCACCTAAAGTGGTAATTTGATTTTTTTTAATTTATTACATGTATTTTTTTTATTATTAATTTAATTACGTGAAAAAGCCCTTAAAGTGTTGTAATGGTCATCTTCTCAAAACTACTATATAAGAATATTCAAAGCAAAAAAAAAAATATTGAGACATTAATTAAGTGATACTTATACTTGGTGCAAAACCATTATTTGTAAATCTATTCTTTCTTGTAAACATCCATTGCTTTGTATAGGTTGTATAACATTTAAGTGAGACAAACACAATACTTGTGTAACCTTTATAGCCATTGTTATAGGGATTAGGCATGGAGAGGCTTGTCTAAAAAATAATACTTATTTTGAGCTTTAAGAAGTTTGATTATAAAAGAATACATGGTTGTTAAGATTAGAAAAACTTGTTATTAAAAGAATATTTAGGTAGTTGCTTAAAGAGATAAGTCAAAGAATACTTAGAATTGAGCTAAAAATGGCTTGTTAAAAGAATACTTATATATTTATTTAAAGATAGTGTAACTCAATCTGGTTGAATTGATAATTGAACGTAATCTTAGTGATTAAGGCGAATCAGTATAAAAATACCCAGTGTTTCATTTGATTAATCTTCGCGCTTCATCTAACTAGCGTATTTCACTATGAAAAATGTTTAAGTTTTTTTATATACATTATTCAATTCCTTCTAGTGTTTATTTTTTCTCGACATCTTGCTTCACTAAGGAACAAAAGACATGTTTTACATTAGTAAAAGGATTAGCATATCCCTCAAAGCACATGAAATCTTAGTTGAAGTTGTTTTAGACTGACACACACATGGTTTCTCTCTTTTGGTTCTTAAAAGGTGATAAGTATCTTTAATAAAATAAAAAGTGACAATTTGGTAAAATACATCTAAGGAAAGCATTTTATGCACTAATAGACACTTCTATCCATAAGCAACAAAGATGTAGTCAAATAAAGTAAGCTTAAATAGAAAGAAATAAAAAGTTTCTTCAGCACTCATGCTTCACTAAGGAAAAGACTTATTTTGCATAAAAAAATATTAATGGTTGGATCGAGTACTTACCACTAGGCCAAAAGCTATAGCTAATAGTCAGGATGCAACTGCTTTTTCTACTTAACCTAATACCAATCTCCCCCAGCAATTGCTCTTGCTAGGAATCGCCCCTCAACAATTGCTCCCACTAGGAATCAAACTTGTGACCTTGGCTCTGATACCAATTATTGAATCGAACGCTTATCATTAAGCCAAAAGTTATAACTGATAGTTAGGACGCAACTCTTTTTACTTAACCATAGCAACCCAAGCACCATATGTCTCGACTATGACTTGACCCACTCAAGCCTCTACCACGGGACAATTTATGCAACCCAACAATACTAACATATCCTTCAAAGCATATGAAATCTTAAAGAAAGTTGTTTTAGACTGACACACACATGGTTCCTCTCTTTTAGTACATATAGGGTAATAAGTAGTTTTCTTGATTAAATAAGAAGTGACAATTTGGTGAAATAAATTTAAGGCAAGCATTTAATGCACCAATAGACATTTTTCTTTATAAGGAATGAAGATGAAGATAAACGAAACAAACTTGTGATAGACACTCAAAGATTTGTAATAATCATCTTCATGAAGCACCTATATAAAGAAACTTGAAGATTAAAAAAAAAAGACTTACATGAATACAATTGTATGTTTCATTCTTTCTATAAAAAGCCTTGTGCTTAATTGATTGTATCACGTCTTAATAGTAAGATGAAACAACACTATTATTTTTCAAACTTTAACTTTGTGTTATTGCTTTGAGCATGAATAAACTTGATTGTTAAAAAATAATTAGTTGTGAAAGCCCAAAAAGGCTTGATTGTAAGAGAATATTTGATTGTTGAAGTCTGAAAAGGCTTGTGTGTAAAAAAAATACTTTGTTGTTGAATTTTGGAAAGGCTTTGTATTCAAAAAATACTTAGGTAAATGATGGAAGAGACAAGTCAAAGAATACTTAGGTTGAGACAGAAGTGACTTGTGAAAAAATACTTGTATCTTTGCAAATATAGTGGAACTTTATTGAGTTGATCAAGAACTGAACATAGTTTCGATGGTTAAGACGAACGGATATAAAAATTTTGTGTGTTTTTCTTACTTAATTTTTCATCTACACTCACAAGGTCATGTTACTACTTCGTTACTACAAGAAGTGTTAAATTTTTTATTGACAATATCAAATCTTCTTCCTTCTCCTGTCTTTTTTTTCTCCACATTAACCTCAACTCAAATCACAACAATAACCTAATTTTTAAAAATTCCTTAAACTATTTATACTCTAACCAATAAAAAAAAACATAACTATCACCACTAATCAACATATAACATCCATATAGTTATATAAATATACATTAATGAAAACAATGTTAGAATATATAAATATACAAAGAATTCAAACAAATAACAATAAAAATAATATGATATATTAATAATCACCTCAACTAATTCAAATTTAAATATAATAATACTACTTAATGTTTATTATTATTATCATAATATATACCTATTACAATCATCTTAATTATTATAATTTATATAATAATATATATTTTAAGAATAGAAAGAAACTTTGATGAAATAAAAATAGAAAAAATAATATATATGTTATAATCACCTTAAATAAATAAAATCAAAATATAGTAATTTAGATCAAAATATATATTTGTTATTATGGAATTAGTTACTATAATTAAATGTGATAACAAGATTTTATAAATTAAAAAAAAAACAAAAAAAAAACAGATAAATGACAATGTTGATATATATATATATATATATATTGATACGTAATATAATAAATAATAAATAATAAATATAGGTTTAATTATCTTTTTAATCTTAATAATTTTATAAATTTTACTTTTTAGATTTTATAGAAATAGACGATAAATATTAAAAATATTTTTTATTTAATAAAACATGATGTGCACAAGAAGTAATATAAAGTATTTTAAATTATAAAGATTAAAAAACTAAATACTATAATCGATATAAATAATAATAATTTGTATTATTCAATTAAATTATTTAAAATTCTAATTCTAATTTTAAGTATGAAATAAAATATACAGGAAAAGTATTTATTTTGTATGGTGATCTTTTTGATGAAGATTGGTCACTATTTATTATGATGATACACTTTATGCTTGGACTATGATTATCAAAGTGTAAAAATATATGGATAAAAATATAATTAAATCATAAATTTAATATAAATGGTTGACCCACGAACCAATAGGCTTACAAAGAACCAAACGCGTTATGTTAAGAAAAGGTCAAACTGAATGCACCTCCGACATAGTCCATGGTCCACACGAATGTCCATTCCTTTGTTCATCCTTATGGCCTAAGGAAGCGTGAAATGAACCAGAAAATGACCTTCATATTAAATTAATTAAAAATCTTAATAGTCAATTATTATTATTATTATTATTATTATTATTATTAATATTAATATAAACAGAATAAATGAATAACCTTTACAGCTGAAGGGAGTGGCGGAGTTCACTTCCACTTCCACAATTCTGCATTCTACACATCTCCCATTTTTTCTCAAACAATTTTTAGCTTTTGGGGTTTCGGTGTTTTGTTCTAAAGTTTCAGACTTTGTTAAAATCCCATTGCAGTTTGAACTCTGTAACTATATATGCACTAGCATATTTTTTGTTCTTTTCATTTTTTGATTAAATTTGTTTATATATATATATATATATATATATTTTCCTTTTTCTCGTTTTTTGGCATCTAAATGCCGTTTTAAGAGGTGGGGAAAGCCAAGTGCTTGTGGAAATTCGACAACTTTTGGAAATTTCTCGATTGATTGCGCTTTGTTGTGTCGATTGGATCATTGGGGTGGCTTTAAAATCTAAGGGGTTGAAAATGATGCTGCATTTTGTACAGCCGTCAAAGCTGAAAACCAAGAAGGTATTTTGGCTAAAAGGGTTTTTGCAATTAGTTTGGAGTTTTGCATGATTTTGATTTTTGCGTCAGTGATATTAGTTCTTGATTGTTTGATTAGTATATGGTTTACTAAGTACTCTGGAATTGGAAAAGATAAGAGTGAAGGAATTATAATCTTAATACTCTGATAAATTGACAAACTTTCCTTGATAGCGTCTTAATTATAATCTTATGGTATGAGATGATTGTTGTTATTGAAATGCTTAGTTGCAGTGAGCTGGGAATATAGGTACTGCTTATATTCTACACCTAAATATAATGAATTTTTTTTCTATATAAATACTATATGTTGCTAAAAAAAATTCCACTTAACTGGTGAAAGTTGATCTAATTGGTAAGGATCAGATTGTGCTACATGGGATGTGAGCTTGAATCCTAAAGTAAATGTAAGAAACCTTGTTGGTGGGTAATCTATAAGTACTTATGTAAGTGCTTTGAGTTGAGTCATGAATACAATGGAAAAAACCTTGTTGGTAGGTAATCTATAAATTTTTATATAAGTGCTCTGAGTCTTGAGGCAAGTCTTGACCTGGTGAGATCCTGAGACCTAACTCACCTATACTTTCATCTTCATGTAACAAATTCAACTTTGGGTGTATACCGAAATGTAGCTCTGCCCTTGACAGTAGTTCTGTTTTTAGTTGGTCTGTATATTTGTTGGTTTAGAGCATGATAGATTTTGGGTTATTTGTTGTCAAAAAGCCCAAAACCCATATAAAAATAAGTGGTTATGTTTGGTGTCAGGAATGATGATTTCATCATTGTTAGTTAGTACTGCTGATAATTGATTTTCATGTTGTCAGATAGTGTTTGAGGATGTATATGCTGCTTGTGATTCTGCAACACTTGAGCATCTTAAGGAACTAAGCTCAAAGCGTAAAGCGATTGAAGATTCTATTAATGAGAGCAGCTTCATTACAGAAGCTATTGCAAAAGAAATGTCTGGAGGGTTGGAATCTCGCTATGAACAGGTAACTATATATGCTGTGCTCTCTGTATCAGATCATTTACTCACATTGTTCTTTGAACAGTATTCAAATGACAATAATATTGATCCTTGATTCCAGCTGTGTTTTTCTCTTTGGCCTTCTTATTTTACTTGTGTTAGTTGTGTCTTTTCCTTTTTGGTAAATAATGCTCACACTGTCTTGTAACTTGTAAGTGAATGTTAACATCAACCTTGTTGAAAGGGCAAAAAAGGAACAGATGTCTAGTTGTACTCACTTTCATTTCCCTTTGTGGGGGCAATGTATTTTATAAGGTCATTGTGGAATGACTTAAGGATGGTATTATGGAACTGGTATATTTTCCGAGTATTCTCTAGCAGGCAATACGTCAATGTGAAATGGTGTTTATGTGTGACCAATTATGGTTTAGACTCTAGACTCAATAGTAATGATCAGTATTTGATAAATGATCAAATTTCTGACTGTACTGATAAATTGTTGTCATTTTGTTTTTTTCTGTCTGCATCAGGATGTTCACAAAATAGAGCAGTATCTGCCATTACTGGAAAATTTGTTTCCCTATGCTGATGTAACAAACACCAATTACCGAATGGCTCAATGTACTGCAGCTCTTAAGATACGCTGGAGTAGTGCCCTGAGCACATCTTCTTTCTTCAATTTCAAGGGCCCCAAGTTTTTCCAAATTGACAATTTGCGATTTGAGCTTGGTATGACCCTTTTTCTTTGTGGTGGAATCCTGCGAGAGAGGGCTTTAGAAGTTTTATCAACTGGTACACTGAGAAACTCAATCCCATTTCATAAGATAAACATGTCCTGTTGAATATGTTTATATATGCATCATTGTTTGTTCTCCAGATTTGGTTCAATCTGCCACCATTTTCAGACAAGCTTCTGGCATTTATCAACACCTGGCACAAGATGTTCTTCCCCCCTTACAGCCTGCATTGCCTCTAGAAAAGCCACCTGAAGCTCTGGCTGCAGTATCCACCATTATGAGCCTCATTTGCTTGGCAGAGGCCCAGGTTGGTGTTGTTTTGTGTCATTTTCCAAATTGTTTCATTTTTATGTGTTGAATTGCATATTATCATATCATGAAACTTAGGGTCTGTTTAGATAAGTTTCACTACAAGTATTTATATAAAAGAAAAATATAAAGAAAAATCAAAATAAGTTTCTCCATAAACTAAAATTAGCTCATGGATGAGTTATAAAAATAAGATTTTGGAAAAGCTAATGGAAGAAACTTCTACAAAATAGCTTATGTATAAACTAATTTTAGCTTATGAAGAAACTTATTTTATTTTTCCTTCCTACTTTGTTCTCTTAGAAGTTCTTGTGGAGAAGTTTATCCAGACACACCCTTAGTTACATTAGCTATGAAAATGTATAATTTATCCCAGTTTATAAAGATAAAGTTCAACAAGTTTGTCGTTGTCAATAACTACTGTGATAACTTTATAGGCAGTAACCATAAGGAAGGCTGAAGAGAAAGGTACTTCTTCAAGTCTTCTGGCAAAGTTGCATCATGGTGTTACACTTTTTCTTGAAGAAGCTATTGGAATTTTTCATACAGTTGTCACACAGTGCAAAGACATTTCATCACGCTTATTGGTATGGATATACCTGCCCTTTTCATATTGGTAGAAATCATCATCGATATCCACTCCGCATCTCATTCAGTTAATGCAAATTCGGAACTAGTATCTCATTGTATTGTTACATGCATAATTGCGTTCACATGGTCTGTTTTTTCTTTTTCCTTAATTCATTTTATTGGTTTTTTTTTCCTGATCCTTAGTCACAGATCAATAGGAGGGGAATGTAACAATGATATTCCCAACGTAACAAACCATCAATAGGAGTGAACCTTGATATTCTTGTAGTGGTGAAAATGAAGAGGATTGTATTTGTAGGAAATAGGAATGAAATGGGGTAAATAATGTTACGTGTCAAGCATAGTCTATCTAAGATACTTTGTAAGATTTCTTCATGTCTCCTTTCTCTTTTGTTATGCCTATGTTATTGTTAATCATTTTATGTTTGTTTTCCATTTTGGCCTTCCACTATGGTATTGTGAAATTCTCAAGTACCCTTTCACGTATGCTATATGCAGGAATTCATGTATTTCTGCAAGTGTTTACATGAGTTGAAAGGTCAGCAATACCATGCAGAAAGCTTGAAAGCATGTGGTCAAATAGGGGCTGCTATTGGAGTTCTTTGTTCTGTGTTGAGTAATGTAAAAAAGAAGATACCAGGAGAAGAACCTTGGAAATCTATTTACCAAAAGCAAATTGAAGATGCTTCTGAAGTGCTCAGAAAGTTTGTACATGAGAATGATTTTGTTTGGCATGAGAAGATCCCTTCAGGAGATGAGTTACCCTTGCCAGAGGGTAATAAAATAGTCACTTTTAAACCTTATAGTCCCAAAAGATGGGAAACACCACTTGCTTTCAAGAGAAAAATGTAGAAGAAAAAGCAAATTGTTTCCTCCACTTTTTCTTACACCTCTGGAGAAGACAAAGGGGAGCTAGAAAGCAAAGTTCTTTTCCAATGAGTGTAAAGATAGGTGTAGAAAAATGTGATGTGAAAAATAATTAGACGTGGAAAGAAATTATGTTAAGGAAATCTAGTCTATTTGATCAAAATGGTCATGGCCTCTCACGGATTTTTGGTTTTTTACACCTTTATAGGGTACATGAAATATAAGAATTTAATGCCGTACTTATTGTTGTTTTCTTATACCTTTGTACAGACTGGTGTTCTTAACGCGTAGGGATCGGTTTGCTTAAAGTTTTGCCATAATTTGTTATATGAATCCCCTTTAGGCTTACTTGGATAATTTTTAAAAAAATTATTTTTAAAAGGAAAAAATAGAAAATAAAAAAAATAGTTTTTCATAAACTAAAATTAATTTACAAATAAGTTAATTTGTAAATTTTTTTTTCATATAATTTCTTTAAAAACCAATTATAAATAAGCTTATACATAAATTAATTTGAATTTTAAAAAAATATTTTATTTTGTTTTATTTTTTAGAAGTGTTCTAGTCTTAAGAGTATTGTTGTGAATTAGTTTTCAGGCATGTATACTAGCGTGTTTTTAGGAGTTCCAAGGATTGAGATAAAACAAGCTACAAATAAATTAAGTTGGTTTCTATAAGTTTATGTTAAAGACTTAGTTAAAAACAATACCCATTTCATATTATAATTAGTTAAACTGATTAGGGAGTTAATAAGGAAGCCACGTGACAACCAATCAGTTTAATTTTGATAATTTTGTTAGGATTTCCAATTTTTGCATTGTTGGTTGTTTTAGTTAGTTGGTGCAATGCACCTCTATAAATAACTAGCTCTAAATTGAGCTTGGTAATTTTTGAAACAATCTTCTTGTAATCTTTCTCTCAATTCAATATACAATTCTTCGGATTCATCTTTTGAAATCCCTAAGTTTTGTAAGTTCTTCGAATAATTCCTATTCCTAGAACTACCTTCATTAGTGATATCAGCTTCGGCCTTCCATCGACAAATATGGCAGAAGCAACTCGTCTTCAAGCAACGATGTGTGAACAAGAAGGGCAGTTGGAAAACAAGATCGTATCAAAACTTGAAGCGCGAATAATGGAGATTACATCTTCAATTCGGCAAGCAATTGATGCTTTAGTGGATCAATGAATCTTGGAGACTTTACAGAAGAACACAGATTCAGATAGTGATGTTATAGAACGAGGTATTATTCGCAGAGGAGCACACCATTTGAATTCCAATTATTCTTGTGGTTCGCGTTTGGCGCGAATTGATTTTTCGCGCTTTGGCAGTGATGCAATTCAATAGTGGATCTATCAATGTGAAACGTATTTTGCAATTAACGGCACTCTTGAGGATTTTCGGGTGAAATTGGCTGTAATCCACTTTGAAGGGAAGGCACTACAGTGGCATACCTCCTTTGTTAAGACTCTTCTAGGAGGTAATCTTCCTAATTGGGCTGAATTTACAAACATACTAATAGATCGCTTTGGTGAAATAGGCGATGATCCAATGTCAGAACTTATGAAATTAAGGCAGAGGGGATCTATGGTGGTGTACCATGATCAATTTGATGCAATAACTTCTAGATTAGACCTAAGTGATACGCACTTGTTAAGCTATTTTTTAGGAGGCTTAAAAAAGGGTATTCAAATGACAGTCAAAATGTTTCAGCCTCAAGATTTAAGAAAGGCATTCCAGTTGGCTAATGTATGAATCAACTTCTAGTTCAAACATCCCTACCAAAAACTCTCCTAAATTCCAGAATACACAAACTAGTATAAAAGCCATTTTGCCTACACCTAAACCTATATACAAGCCTACCTGGCCTCAAGAGGATTATCAGAGGGGCGTCGAGGGAGCTGGGCGTGAATCCGCTCGTTCTCAGCACGTAGCGCCGCTAGGTCAGCTTCATTGGCGGTCCGCATCGCCGCTAGGTCAGTTTTGTGCTGGGCACGCATCTTTCGCAGATCGGCGTCGTGTTGCTGGCGCATCTGTTCGACCTGGTCGATTAGTCTCCTCAATGTGGCTTCGTTGTCCATGGTAGTTGAGTGATCTGCGTCGTCTGTTGCGCGTCTACTATGGCTTCTGGTGAATACCATAAGCGTGGCCGATAAGAGCTGTCTTGATCGGCCCCACGGTGGG